CTAAGGCAGACGCAGCAGTGGACTCAAAGGAAGGGTCAGTGACAACAGTAGCCAGGAGACGCGTGACAGTAGGACTGGCAGCACGAAGGGAGTCAGACTCAGGGTCAGCAAGAGCAGGAAGAGAGGACGCAGGAGGAGACGGGAGAGGGACACGCTGGGGAGCAGTGGAAGGACGAAGCGCCATCTGGTGAGTGCCTGGGACAGCAGGAGGACGCTGACGCAGGACACGACGACCAGTGTGAGCAGCACGAACAGGCGACGCTCGACGAGACTCAGGCGACGCAGGACGAGACTCAGGCTCACGACGCTCCGTAAGACCTCCAGTCGGACCAGTGTAAGGAGAAGGACCAGGGAGAGGGGAGGCAGACGGTAACTGTGACTGCGACTGGACAGACGGAGGACACTCTAAGGAGGGAGGAGGACAAGGAGGAGGAGGCTGACCAAGAACCTGCTGAAGGAGCGGAACGAAGTACGGCCGCGGCCGCGCAGCGTCTCCAGAACCAGCAGAGACACCAGCGCCAGGGTCGTCAGCACCAGCAGCAGCACCAACTCCAGGGTCCTCAGCACCAGCAGCAGCTCCAACTCCAGGGTCCGCAGCACCAGCAGCAGCTCCAACTCCGGGGTCCGCAGCACCAGCAGCAGCTCCAACGCCCGGGTCCGCAGCACCAGCCGCAGCTCCAACTCCAGGGTCCGCAGCACCAGCAGCACCTCCAGGAGTAGCAGTACCTCCAGCAACTCCAACAGCAACAGCACCAGCAGCACCTCCAGCAACTCCAGCAGCACCAGCAGCACCACCAGTAGCGCCAGCAGCACCGCCAGCAGCAGCACCTCCAGCAGCTCCAGCACCAGCAGCACCTCCACTAGCACCAGCAGCACCGCCAGCAGCAGCAGCACCTCCAGCTCCAGGGTCCGCGACACTAGGAGCGCCACTCCAGAGACTGCAGCGCCGTGCGTACCACTCTCGGAGCCGCTGGGGAGAGGGTAGCTCCCGCCTAGGAGGGGAAGCACTAGCCCCAGCTCTAGCAGTTCTCCTAGCTCCAGAAGCACCTCTCCTGAGGCTGCAGTACTGTAAGTACCACTCACGCAGCTGCTGTGAGGAGAGAGCTCCTCCAGGTGTAGCACTCCCAGGCGCAGCACCTCCAGACTCAGCACCCCCAGACTCAGCACCCGCAGGCTCCGCACCCCCAGGCTCAGCACCCCCAGACTCCGCACCCCCAGGCTCCGCACCCCCAGGATCCGCACCCCCAGGCTCCGCACGCTCAGGCTCAGCACCCTCAGCAGGACGAGAGTCGACAGCTACCTCGACAGGCTCAACCGGGTCTACCTGGGACACACCTGAGGGAGCGGCACCCTGAGGGGGGAGGGGGTCTACCACAGCAGCACCTGGCGCGAGGAAGAGAGGCGGGGGGGGAAGCGGGGCAGTGCGGTAGGGGAAGAGGCGGTAGTAGGGGACGGACTCGTCGAACGTGACGTCCTGAGAAGGCAGGACACTGCGCGAGGTGGGGTGGTAAAACTGCCAACCAGACGCGTCCGGGACAAAGCCAAGGAAGACACAAGGAACAGCGCGGGAGGAGAGCTTGTCCGCAGACGTATCGCGGACAAAAGCTCGAGATCCCCAGACCCGAAAGCGTGACGCATCGCCAACCTCTCCCGTCCAACGCAGTGTCGGCGAAGTCTCCGGAACGGAGACACGGGGCCAGAGGTTGAGCTGATGCGCAGCGTAGCGGACCGCAAACGGCCACAGAAAGTGGGGGGCAGCCGCATGGATCAAGGAGGTACGAGCGACCTCCATGACCAAGCCAATGCGACGCTCAGCAACCCCATTCTGCTGTGGAGAGGCCGGAAGCGTGAACGACTGGCGAATGCCGTGCTCCGCACAGTAGGCTGCCAAGAGGTCGGAGGAGAACTCACCACCTCTGTCAGAGTGCAAGCGCAGGACAGGAAAGTCCGAGTGGAAACGCTCGCTGAGCTGGAGACGAGAAGCGCGGATCCAAGGGATCAAAACATCAGGGACCTCACCCTTGGTGCGCAAGGGGAAGACCGTGGTGTAGCGCGAGTAGTCGTCAACAACTATCAGGAAGTACCTCTCCTGACCCTGACCACGGACGCGGGCTGGGCCCCACACGTCCATGTGGAGCGTCTGCAAGGGAGCAGTCGTCGGGGGAAACGAGGAGGAGTGAGGAGTGGCGCGCTGCCGCCCCTCGACACAGGGAAGACAGGGAGGAGCAGACGAGGGTGGGAGGGGAGGGAGAACCCTGGGAAGACCAGAGACAAGGTACCGTTTGTGCATGGCACGAAGGCGCTGCACGGACGGGTGACCAAGTCGGTGGTGCCAGAGGACGGTCTCGTGCGCCAGAGAGCGACACGAGCAGGGGGCCGACAGCTGACCTGACGCAGACGCAGACGCAGCTACCTGAGGGGACTCAGTGGTCAGTGTGTACAGGTCCGACCCCGGCTGCCGAGTGAAGGTAGCCAGGTGACGGCCCGTCCGAGCACACGTGCAGTGTGTCACGCGCTCGTAGGCAGGAGTGAACTGGTGGACACCCCCGTCCTGGAGCGCACAACCTGCCACCAAGTTCGTAGAGAATGAGGGGAGGTGGAGACCTGACAGTGTGCCCGACGGGACCGCAGGACAAGGAAGGACGGTGGAGGAGGTCGCAATGACCGGACCCCCAGAGGGGTCAGCGAGAGAGACAGCAACTGGCCGAGCAAACGGCTCAAGGGTAGTGCGGTCACGAAAGAAACAGCGAGAAGCACCTGAGTCCAGTGTGAAGGTGTGCAGTGCCTCAGTCGACTCAGTACCAGGGGGGGCAGACTCACTAGCACCTAGAGCAGCAGCCTCACCAGCACCTGGGGTAGCAGACACGCGAGTACCGGGAGTGGTAGCCTCACCAGCACCTAGGGCAACAGACGCACTAGCACCTAGAGCGGCAGCCTCACTCACAGGACACGGCAGCTGCACCTGTCCACTACCAGAAGCTCCCGAACGACGCACTCCCGAGCGACTACCACTACGGCCACCCCGACAGCCCCAACTGGCGTACCACTCACGAAGCTGCTGGGGCGAAAGAGGACACGGTAGCTGCACCTGTCCACTACCAGAAGCTCCCGACCGACCCACTCCAGAGCGACTACCACTACGGCCACCCCGACAGCCCCAACTAGCATACCACTCACGAAGCTGCTGGGGCAAAAGAGGACACGACAGCTGCACCTGTCCACTACCAGGAGCTCCCGAACGACCCACTCGAGAGCGACTACCACTACGGCCACCCCGACAGCCCCAACTAGCGTACCACTCACGAAGCTGCTGGGGCGTGAGGGACTCACGTGCACGGCCCTGGAGCTGCATCTGGCCACGCCAGGAGCAGCAGTAGCAGCAGTAGCGGCAGTAACAGCAGTAACAGTAGGAGCAGTAGAGGCAGTAGCAGCAGTAGTAGTGGTAGCAGTGCGGGTAGGGTAATGCTCACCAGTGGTCGGCGCGGTAGGCGCAAGACGGTGGCGACAGCGGGGCCGCTACAACTGCAGGGCGGGGCTGGGCCGCGGCAGGGAGCTCCGCGGCAGCTGCTGCAGGGCGGGGCCGGGCCGCGACGGCAGCTGCTCCAGGGGTCAGGGGCGGCTGCTGCAGGGGCGGCTGCTCCAGTGGCCAGGGGCGGCTCTTGCAGTGGCGGCTGGTCCAAGGGCCAGGGACGGCTGCTGCAGGGGCGGCTGCTCCAGGGGCCAGGGGCGGCTCTTGCAGTGGCGGCTGCTCCAGGGGCCAGGGGCGGCTGCTGCAGGGGCGGCTGCTCCAGGGTCCAGGGGCGGCTCCTGCTGTGGTGGCTGCTCCAGGTGGCCAGGGGCGGCTGCTGCAGGGGCGGCTGCTCCAGGGTCCAGGGGCGGCTGTAGGTGCAGCTGCTCCAGAGGCCAGGGGCGGCCGTCCCAAGGGCGGGCGCGGGGTAGAGCAGGGCGCCACGGTGAGCAGGGGCGACGCGCGGGTCGCGCGCGGGGGGCGACGCGACGAGGCAGGGGCGACGCGTGCGGGTCCCGCAGCTGCGTCGCGACGAGGCGGGGGCGACGCGCGGGTCCCGCAGCTGCGTCGCGACGAGGCGGGGGCGACGCGCGGGTCCCGCAGCTGCGTCGCGACGAGGCGGGGGCGACGCGCGGGTCCCGCAGCTGCGTCGCGACGAGGCGGGGGCGACGCGCGGGTCCCGCAGCTGCGTCGCGACGAGGCGGGGGCGACGCGTGGGTCCCGCAGCTGCGTCGCGACGAGGCGGGGGCGACTCGCGGGTCCCGTAAGGGCGTCGCGAAGGGGCAGGGGGGGCGACGCGCACGGGTTCCGGCGGGCTGCAGGCGTCGGCGTGAAGTAGCCGCGGCGCGCGGGTCACGGCCTGCGCGTGAGCGGCCTACGGGCGGCCTACGGGCTGCCTACGGGCTGCCTACGGACGGCAGCGTCCTACGGGCGTCGTACTGGCGGCCTACGGGCGGCCGCGGCCTACGGGCTGCGTACGGGCAGCGTAAGGGCGGCCTACAGGCGACGGCAGGCGACGGGCAGCCTACGGGCGATGGGCAGCCTACGGGCGGCGGCCATTAGGGCGCACGACGGCGCTAGTAGGGGCGCTCGACGGCGCTAGAAGGGGCGCTCGACGGCGCTAGGAGGGGCGCTCGACGGCGCAAGAAGGGGCGCTCGACGGCGCGAGAAGGGGCGCTCGACGGCGCGGTGGAACGGTGGGCCCAAACCAACTTCGGTCCTAGGTCCTGACCTAGGCGTCGGATACCATGTTGTAAAGTAGAGGTGAACGAGAATGGATGAAACTAGGTAGGAGGGGGATACAAGTAGGAAACCCTAACAAAGTTGTACCCCCTAAGGCTAAACCCACTATAGCCTACACAATTTAAACATATAATGTTTGACACGAGAGTCCGGCCAGAGGGAGTGAGGAGGCCGAGGGGGTAGAATGCGACCTGTTTGGGCGCAGTGTGGGAGAGTATGGGGGGAGGGGGCTGTCGACAGAGGGGGGGAGTCACGGGGAGGGCAGTGCAGCCCAGAACAAGTAGGGAGGAGGGTGGCAGCCTGATCCTTGGAGGGGCAGGGAGAAGTAGGACTGAGGAAAGGGGGGGGAGGCGGGTTGGGTGGAAGGAAGAGGGGAGGAGAGGGAGTAGGGGTGAAAGTACCGGAGAGGGGAAAAAGAGGGAGAAGGAAGATATAGGGTGCGAAAGGGGGGATTGTTGGCTAAGAGCAGGGAGGGCGAGTTCCGGAGGGGAGGGTTGCCTGCGGGGGGAGGAGGAAGTGGGGAAGGGGTGCGAGAGTGGGGTGAGCTCGTGGGGGAGTGGAGGTCCGACCATAAGGGGGGTAAGGGAGGGAGTGTCATGGGGGGAGGGGGTGGGGTGGGAGGGGGGAATGAGTGTGTGGTTGGGGAGGTGACTGCGGGGAGCGGAGGGGGCAGGGGGGGGTTGGTGATATGGAGTGAGTTCATGGGTGGGCAGAGGCCTGGCCGAAAGGGAGCCTGAGGGGGGTAGGACACAGGGGGTGGGGAAGACTTGAAAAGTGGCTGAAGGGGGGTGGTTCGAGGGGGAGGAAAATCTGCGTGGGTTGGAGAGGGAAGGGAGGGGGTGGAGGTGCGAGGTGAGTGGGTGAGTGGGTGAGAGCCCGGCGGCGGGGGGGGGGGGGGGGGGGATAGAGATAAGGTATATGGGAGAGGGGGTTGGCGGGGGAGAAGGTCCAAAGAGGGGGGACAGGGCACTGGATGGGTGGTGAGAGGGGGGGGAACGGGGAGAGGGGGCAAAACCTGGTTGAGTAAGGGAGTGGCCGGGGCCTGGGCAATCGTGGGAAGTGGGAGAGGAAAGGCAGTGGGGGGGGGGGGGGGGGGGGGGGGGGGCGTAAAGGAACATAGGGACATTGGAAGGTGAGCGCGGGGGTGGGAGGGGAGCAGGTTAGTTGATGGGCGGGGAAAAGGTGAGTCGCGGGGGGGGGGGGGAGGCAAGTTGGAGGACAGAGGGGGAGCGAACAAGGGGAAGAGCAGAGCAAGCTAGACGTGAAGAGTGACAGCAAGAACGAGGGGAGTTAGCGACGCAAACAGAAAATGTGTTTTGCGTACCATTTGTCTGCTGCAGTTGCGCGATTGAAATTGTGTTCCGGTTCATGAGGCGCTGACGGCGGCGGGCTGCGAACGCCGCGTGATCCGATGCACGGTGGTTGTTGGAGCAAAGCGCGCACACGTGGCAGGAGAAATTCAGCAGCATGGGAGGTTTGTTAGCCTCCAACAGGATTTCGGATGGAATGAGATCGAAATGCGGGTCGTCGGGGGTGGCGACGGGGAGTCCAGCGAGGTGAGTGAAGTAGGTACCCTCATAGGGGTCAGAAGCGCGGTGGAAGTTGGTCAAGTCGGCGAGCCAGTGTGCACCGTCCGGCTCGGTGGAGTCCAAGAGGAAGGCTCGGATATCCTCTGGCGCGTACTCCATAGGGACGTTACGGATAGATATGGTGGGAGTGCCTGCAGCCTTAGCCGCGGTAAATTCTTCGAATCTGTCCACGAACTCTTTCAGCAGAACGGGACGGGAGTTAGGGAGCTTGAGAGAGAGGGGGAACAGCCTGTGGAAGGCAGTTGCGTCCGCCTGCGACGGCCATGAAAACTGCAGGCGGCCGTAAACGCGACGGGCCATGCGGAGGGGGTCACCGACGGTCTGCTCGAAAGGCGGGACGGTGCCAGTTTCGAACATGAAACCGCACAGCATTGCGTTGATGCTGGCAAAAATCGCAGTGCGGTGCGCTTCCAGCTCGGCTTCAGGGAGGAGGGATACAACCACACGGCGACGCTGAGGAAGAAGCAAAGGGGAAACGGCGGTCAGACGCACGCGACGAAGGTTGTGGAGGGGGGTACCCGGGAAGGGCGAGGCGATGGGTGAGGCGGGCAGCCCAAGGGATGGGTTGGAGCCCGAGGCGACGGATGCATAGGCAGCAGCGCGGTCTGCCGGGCGCTGGGGGCACTTGCGGTGGCTGCCTGCGAGGGCGACTGGCCACTCGGAGGCACGTTAGAAGTGGCAGCAGCACGGGGTGCGGGCGAGCGCGCCTGATGCGCCTGGGCCGATTCGGGGGAGGCGGTGATGTTGGTGGAGGGGGAGGAGGGGGAGAGGCTAGCGCCGGCGTCGAAGCATGGTTTTTTGGCGACGGGGAGCTCAGCAGAGTCAGCAAGGTGGTCGATCAGGCCTTCGGGCAGATCGTCCACGAGGAGGTCTTCCCCGGATGCGATGAGGGCCTCCTCTTCGGCAGCGGACATGGTCAGGTCGGAGTTGTAGATCTGCTCTGCCATAGTGTAAGATGACAAGGAGAGGCGTGGAGGGATATAAGTTGTGAAGTGAATGCAAGAAAAGGAAAAAGCTCTGTTATATACAGAGCGGGAGAGCAAGGCCCCGAGAGGGGAAGAAGGGGTAGGGGGAGTGACGGATAGCATGAGCTCCTGACAAACAAGGGGCCATGAGCGCAAGGATCCTAGGAAGCATCGTAGATGGGGGGTGTACGGAGAGCGGGCAGGAAAGGGATGAGCGGGGAGAGCGGGGGGGGGGGGGGGGGAGGGAGGGGCAGAGAAGTTAAGGTAATTACGGCACCGTGGCGAGGGAATCAAGGCCATGAAACGGGGCTGGGAGCCTAGTCGGCTGCCCTAAACCCGGGACCTTACGAGGGTCCATACGCATGCGAGCGGGAAGTGAAACCGGCGGCCTAGGCGGCGCGCCGAGCTTCCAAGCCATGTTAATGGCTCAGCCGGAGGTGGCCAGGGACAGAGTTGTGGGGTGGCAGCGCGAAGCTGGCAGGGGACGCCACGAGGGCCGAGGCACGGAACGGAGAGGAGGAAGAGGCGAGGAACCGGAGATGGCGGTCCGTGGGAGCGAAGGGATTCTGCCTGAGAAGAGGGAGGAAAAATCGGGCTAAGTTTGGCGAGTAACCTGTAGTGGGGGCTGACAAGGCCATCCTCCTTGATTATTGTAAGGAGGGGGGGGGTTGGTTGGGGGAGGGCGATCAGTAGGCGTGGGCTTCGAACTTGCATAAACGAGGGACCTGGGAGAAGGGGAAACAAAGGGGGGAGAGGGGGGGTTAGTGTGGTGGATCGGATGGCGTGGCTGATGACTTCGGTGATTCCCTGGTTCATCTGCTCCCCATCCCCCGCCCCTCACGTCCAGCAACCATGAACGAGCACCTCTATTGATGTGTCATGGCCTTCGCGGCCCCAACTTTCCGCCCGTTAGGCAGCGAAACCAGTCAAACCCTAGGCCGCCTAGGCAGGTTCCCCTTACTCGACTCAGTTTCGTTTCCAGGTAAGTTGCTGCTTTTCGTTTCCTTTTTCTAACGCTTTGCGTTTTCTCTCCCCTACACCCCACTTCGTCCCTCCCCAAGCAAGACTTCGACCCCTTCTCAGCTCCCTTCTCATCAGTCTCAACCGCTGAAGTTCTCCCTGCTCAACGTTCCCCACCTCTCGTTTTCAACACCCCAGGACAACATTCCTGCCAAGTAAGTTTTCCCGATCCTGCAGAAGCTCCGTTCCCTCGCCGTAAATCCCTGCACTATCCCTCACGTTATCCTGCCAACATACCTCGGCGTGGGATGGAATGGGATGAAATGAAGTGTGGGGGAGATCGAAGTCTCCCAGATTGCATGGAAAAGGACTTGTTTGGCGGCAAGGCTTCTGATTGGATTAGAGAAAGAGTCACCTTGAAGTCATCGCGGTGATTCTCTTGGAACAGATTTGCTTCTTTTCGGGCTTGTAATTTGTTTTTGGGTAAGTACACACTGGGTGGGCTTCATTAAAAACAATGTTGTTTCCAGTCCTAAGTTCACCAATTTGGTGTGAATTTCTGCTGATTCTCACTTTCGAGACCCAGATTATTGTCACGTTTCATGTCTACGGGCGATTATTTTCGCCACGTGTCCATGCTTGTGTAGATTTCATCTGTCTGCAAAATTTACATGCGACTGAACCAAATGTTGGTTTTTCAGGGTGTAACTAAACTAAAACTTTTACAGGGCACCCGGGACTTCATTCGATGCATCAACCCTAAACACCATTCCTGTTCCCGTGTTTAGGGTTGATTCCTTCCGAATTGTAACGCTTTTAGGTCGTCAACCCTAAACACCTGGCCATTCCCGTGTTTAGGGTTGATGTTTCCCGAAATGTGTCCGTGTCCCTAGGGGTTTATTTTTGGTCTGCTGCGTCAAAATGTTTCAGGGAAATCACGTCGGACACGTGGCCAAATCTTTTGCCTGTATCCATGAAACGTGACACTAATCTAGATGTCGCGTGTGAGAATTAGTCAAAAGTACCACTCAATGAAAATAATTATATGTAGAAAACACATTTTTCTAGTAATACCAACCCAGTATATACCCACCCTTTGTTTTTTGTTGAAGAAATCACAATTGCTGCCTTTCTATGCGCCATGTCACTTTTGGGGCAATCGGCAAAATACTGTCTGGAGTCCCCCATGATCCTGCCTGCTGCAAGCTCGAGTCGCGGCAAGATACCCCTGAGTGGGTGACGGGTGAGCTACTCGTGACACAGTTGGCGACGAGCGACAGCCTTTATAGCTTACATTCAACCAACTCAAGCTAGCAAAGTGGATTACCTTATTTTTATCTGACGCAAAGGCATTGCCATGAAAAGACGCCTAACATGTGCCGGCCTAGTAACGTTGTGTGAGTCTCTCTGCTCGCGATCGAGCTGTCGCGAATGCGCAGTGTTGTCGCCGATTCGCGATTCGTTCAGTCGATTCTTGGAGCCAGCCATTGATTTGAACAAAGTTGATCCGATCGCCAAAGCTCTCATCTGATCCGTGAATCCAAGCCGTGACTTTATGCTTATCCGCGATTTGAAGAAAGTTGTCCGATCGCCGTATCTTAAAGCTGATCCGTGACTTCATGCTGCGTGGCCTAAGCGGACCTCTAAACTGATCGGCAGTTCCAAGTGGATCCATGAGTCAACGCTGATCCGTGACCCGTCCACTGCTCCATTTTCGATCGCACAGATCCGCTGCCCTTACTCGGCTGCCATGGCAGCGGATTCCGGGTCGGCGTCGGGTCGTTTGATTCCGGGTCGGCGTCGGGTCGTTTGATTCCGGGTCGGCGTCAGCTCGGCGCGCTGCAGGAGTTCGCAACATCTGGGCGGCCGGTGTGGGGGACGTGGATTCCGGGTCGGCGTCGGGTCATTTGATTCGAGTGGGAGTGCTGGCGCTCCAAGGCTCCTTTCGCGAACACACAGCAGGTCAGTGCCAGCTCGCGATCACTTGTGGTGAACGGCATTACTCAGTGCACAGAGTGTTGTTGTGAACAGTGATCAGTCATTGTAAAGGGCTTTGATGACTTTGTAGATGTCTTTGTTGTTTGTTGCTCATTCCTCTGCGGGCGCTCATTCCTCACAAGCGCTCATCATTCCCGTCCGTCCCTCCTCTCCCTCCCTCTTCCCCCCCCCCATCCCGCAGCGCTGCGGAGGTGCGCACGGACGCGGAGCTGCGGTCGGTTCAGGCGCTCATCATTCCCGGCGGGGAGAGACCCACCATGGCCAACCTCGCCCAGCGATGCGGACTGGTGAGGTGCTTGCTTTGCGCAATGCGGATTGCGCATCTCATGTTTCTTTGGATCATACTTCCGCCCTGCAGGAGTTCGCGGCTTCCTTTTCTAGTTTCCAAACATCCCAACTGAGTCTCCCACGCGCCTCCTTCTCCTCCCTCCTCCGCACCCCCTCTCCCCCCACTCCCCCTTCCGAAGGCCCTTCACTCCCGTCCCTTCACCCAGCTCGGCGCGCTGCAGGAATTCGCAGCCTCTGGGACTCATCTTTGACTTTTGAGTCAACGCAAAAGTCAATTCGCAGCCTCTGGGACTCATCTTTGACTTTTGAGTCAACGCAAAAGTCAATTCGCGGCCTCTGGGACGTGCGCCGGAGTCATATTTCTGGCCAACAAGGCACCAGGTGCGTGGGGGGGGGGGAGAGAGAATAAAGGAGTGGGGAGGAGGGGGAGAAGGGATGGGTAGAGGGGAAGGGATGGGAAGAGGGGAAGGGATGGGAAGAGGGGAAGGGATGGAAAGAGGGGAAGGGATGGGGAGAGGGGAAGGGATGGGAAGAGGGGGAGTGATGGGTGGCGGTGCTGGGGGGGCTGGACTGCACTGCACCGTGCACCAGAACTTCTCTGGCAGTCAGGTGGGTCTTGAATAGGGTTGGGGCGGCTATTTCGTCTGTGAGTTGAGTGGAATTCAAGGGCAGGCGCTGCTGGGGGGGCTGGACTGCACTGCACCGTGCACCAGAACTTCTTTAGCAGTCAGTTGGGTCCCATTGTGGGCTTGTCGGCGGGCGATGGGGGGTGGGAGATTGTCAGGCGCTGCTGGGGGGGCTGGACTGGACTGCACCGTGCATATGGCTATGTGTCCATGTGTGTGTGTGTATGCATGCGAGTCTGCATATGTCTGCATTTGTCCATGTCTGTTTGCTTTTCTATCCCTCCCCCCCCCCCACACCCCCCCATGCAGATCAACAGCTCTCTCCCTTCACCCCACCTCCACAGCAGCACCACCATCAGAACCATCAGCACCATCAGCAGCATCAGCAGCAGGTGCATCACCAGCAGCAGCAGCACCAGCAGCATCATCCACACCTTCCCAGTTACACCCATCCCTCATGCACCCCTCTCCTGACGCCTCTCCTGCCTGTCCCACCTCCCCATTTCGAGCTGTGTTCATACGAGCCCCTGCCATCATCCACTTCCTAACCGTGCTGTTGAGGAGCTGATGGAATACCCCCTTCTCAGCCGTGCCTCTGCCGTCGCCACACCTGCTGCCCCGGCTGCACCTGCAGACACTGGTTCGGCCGAGTCTGCAGCCGTTGCTTCGGCCGTGCCTGACCAGAGCAGCCAGGAGCTTTCCGAAGCTGAAATTCTAGCGAAGGTGAATTTCCGAATTGGAACTCCAGTGTTTGAATGTACCACGTGCTGCTTCCTAACGTACCAGATTGCTTCTTAAGGGGGATAGACTGTTCCATTCTCTTGCACTTCTCTTTAACCTATGCCGACTATTTTCTTTCCTCCCATTCCCGTTTTGAGCCGCCTCAAGCTTATGTGTCACATGTTTTCGTCTCCCCCTCTTGTTTGTGGTGGACTCTATTGGCTTGTCTTATGCTTCCTATGTTTCTCTCTCTTCACTCGTCTGCCAGTTGGACCGAGTGACAGTGGCGGTGAGGCAGGGCAGGGTTAGCCACGGCATTCCACCCAGAGCTGACAGCCAATCTGAGATGGTGAGAGACAATTGCTCACATCTCGACTGTTCTAAAGCCCTTCCTGTTCAAGCCCATCTTCTCCCTCTCAAGCCCATCTTCTCCCTCTCAAGCCCATCTTCTCCCTCTCAAGCCCATCTTCTCCCTCTCAAGCCCATCTTCTCCCTCTCAAGCCCATCTTCTCCCTCTCAAGCCCATCTTCTCCCTCTCAAGCCCATCTTCTCCCTCTCAAGCCCATCTTCTCCCTCTCAAGCCCATCTTCTCCCTCTCAAGCCCATCTTCTCCCTCTCAAGCCCATCTTCTCCCTCTCTACCACATTTTCTCACCTGCACTTAGATACGCATCTGCACCCATTCCTCTCTGCACACACCGTTACCCATCCCCCGTTCGAGTTCAGCAAATTGTTCTTACCATCCGCCTGCTCCCATGTGTGCTTTAATAGGCACCGCTTGTTCCTTCAGATGATTCTCGACGCACTCCAGTCCTCCCCAGACCTGGCTGCCGTATCTGCGGCCCAAGCCTATTCTGCAGGCTCGGCAGGCAATTCCGGTGCGACCAGTGTGCTGAATGTGGACCCAGGGACCTGCCAGTATTTGGTTCGACACCGGACCTAAAGATAGAGCTCAAGCCCGTGTCGCTGTTGTAGGTATGGCAACAGGTCGGTCTGGTAGTGCCAAAAAGGATGATTTGACTGATCAGTCATACCTATACCAGCTCTAAGGTGTTGGAAGAAATACTATGTTGCTTGAGCTATGGGGCTCCAGGTTTTACAATATTTATCGAGAAAATCGGTTGACATATTTCAACACCAGAGGTGCCATTGGGTTTACCAAGAGCTCATACACTGCCTGCCATGTTGACAAGCTGAAGAAGTTACGGTACCGGTAAGTCAAATGGAATGGACGTTGCATTGCGTGGGCATTCGGCTGTAAGGTATAAATACGGTACTCCGAGTCGCAGCTGATATAATTAGGGTATATGGTAAGGAGTTACGAAACTTGGGTCGGATTGGCACAAAAATATCTTTATGCGCATTTATTGTGTACATAATTCTGAATCGTTTGTTGAGCCTGAGGAAAATGGAATGTGATCAGATCAATGCAAATGGCTTGATTGTATGCGACATTTCATAATCTTCGTTATAGCATCAAAGCCGAGACTCAAGTTGCTGTGCCGAAACCCGCTTTGGATTTGCGTCGCTTCTGGTTGACAAAAAGCCATATTTCTGTACTTGCCGTCTGTCAGGTGTCTGTCGCGTCGCGATTAGAAATGCGCCTCTGTTACAGGTTACATCACAGCACAGCCATCATGACGAAGGACTCTCCCGCGCCAACATTCTTTGTTCACAAAAATCCGCTTCGCCGATCTGGAGTAACAACTCACGCGCCTCGGGAGGCTGAAACTCAACAACACAACTGAAACCGCCTTCCTGCAAAGTCGGTTTCTAAATATTTCCAAGGTCAGTTCTTGGGCAGCCTTGTAACTTCGATATGTCAACATATTCCTCAACAGAACCAAGATTGTTATTTCTGGGTGTGGTAGAGGGTGCAGACCTGCGTATCATCAGAACCACGAAGTTATTTCACAACTGTGTGTGAATTTCTATTTTCACACGGGCACAGCTCGAAAATTACAACCAGGAGATTGACCCAAAATCCCAATTCGTGGGAGGGGGACCAAGTGGGGACCACCATTGACCAGTCCCCTGAGCTGTGTGATGTGTTTGCTGTGTGAGAGTGACTGAACGCCGCAAACCAGCCAGATACCTGCCTGTTTCAAAAATCGGCTTTCAGAAACTTACAAGGTTAGTTCTTGGGAAGCAATGTCACCAATTTCAACGTAGGACAATCAAGAATGTGCGGGGAATACATTCACACTGGGTGTGAAACTGTGTTCATCTGCCATTTACTAGGGCCATCTCGAAAATTTCATCTTGACATCACTTCAATCCCTGGGGTGGGGACCACCACACCTGCCAGAGTCCCTTTTGATGGGTTCTGACACTATTCCACCTTCTTCTCCACAAACCTCTTCCCGCTAGGGTTTGCTCAAGCAGACTCGTAAGCACACAGCAAAACTGATGTAGAGGCGTGTCCTCTAGTTGGCAGGAACTAGGAATTGTTCTAAGCAGTAGAGAACACTCTTGGCTTTCCAAGGAGCCGTAGAACACGTAATTCGCCCAAGTATCGGCTGAGATACGGCTTTCAACGTGCTAGGTAGTGCTCTAAGATTGAACGATAGAAAGTCTCTGGATTTTGTGTCGAGTTGAACTGTGTATAGAAAACTCTGATTTTCAGTATGAAACATGCATACAAAGCAACTAGTTTTATATCATGCAATCAACATCGAACCGCGTTCGTAACATCGCATCGCTACACTTCGCGAATGTTCTCGTAACATTTCGAAGTGGTGAAATTCGACACTCGAATTTCACTCATCCGAATGTTCCTTCAAGTCTCGAACTTTCTGGTGCTGCCATGTGGCACCGAATTGGTTGAGTCTTCCGAAGTCAATCTTCAGCCCCACGCCAACCTGCAGCTCACTAGAAGGTGAGAAGCAAAAGCAGCACCGTTCGGTAGTTGGGGGCAAAACCTAGCCCCACGCAACCTCCAACACTCCCCCTTGCACCCAAGCCACTAGGTGCTCAACCCAACACGCTCACAGCATGCACGGAATGAATCCTTAGGGAGTGGTTTAGTGAGGAAGTCCGCGTGTTGAGCTTTGGTGCTTATGTAAGTGAGTTTGACCTCACCCTTCTCAACTGCCTCACGAATGAAGTGATGCTTCACTTCGATATGCTTGGTTCGCCCATGAAGGACCGCGTTGTGAGAGAGGCTTATGTCGGCTTGGTTGTCACAAAAGAGAGGAGTTGGGTTCGTTTGAGGATGCCCAAGCTCCGCTAGAAGACGTCGTAGCCATATCGCCTCCATGGCACCTTGAGTGAGTGCCATATACTCCGCTTCCGTTGAGCTTAGAGCCACGGTTGGTTGCTTCTTGCTTTGCCAACTCACGGCCGCCCCAAGCAAGGTGAAGACATACCCGGAGGTACTCTTGCGCGTGCTCGGATCTCCCGCGTAGTCCGAGTCGGCATAGCCCTTGAGTTCAATCGGGCCGGCTTCATACACGAGCCCCAAGTTAGGTGTGCCTTGGAGGTAGCGTAGAACGCGTCCTCCCGCGCGCACATGCTCGGTATGAGGGTTGCTCACGACTCGTCCAAGCACCCCGGCGGCGTATGCGAGGTCGGGACGAGTAGAAACGGCGGCATACATGAGCGAGCCCACTAGCGAATGAAACCGCTTCCCTTCGGCTTCATCGAGGGTGGATTCTTCCTCTTCCGTGAGGCAAGAGAACCCCGTAGCTAGTGGTGTTCCCACCGGTTTGCTATTGCCCATGCCGAAGCTCTCCACTACCCCCTTCACATACTTCTCTTGGTGGAGGTGGATGGTCCCGTTGGCTCGGTCACGGTCAACGTGCATCCCAAGGTAGTACGTGACCGGCCCCAAGTCCCTCATAGCAAACTCCGCCCCTAGCCGTTGCTTGACCTCCCGAATGAGGTCTTTGGAGTCGGAGAAGAGGAGTAAGTCATCGACGTAGAGTAAAAGCACCAATTGCTTCTCCCCCTCCTTCAACACGTACAAAGCGCTATCGCACTCGCTACGCGCGAAGCCGTGTTGAAGAAGAAAGTCGTCGATGCGCTTGTACCATCCGCGTGGACTTTGCTTCAAGCCGTAAAGGGTACGCTTGAGCTTCCACACCCTTCCGCTACCGTCATCGTACCCCGGGGGTTGCCGCATGTAGACTTCTTCCATAAGAAGCCCGTAGAGGAAGGCGGTGCAAACGTCCAATTGCTCCACCTCGAGATTGAGGGATGCCGCTAACGCGAGCAACACCCGAAGAGTTGTAGCCTTAGCGACGGGAGCGAAAGTCTCGCTATAGTGCTCCCCCTCCCGTTGAGTGTATCCTTGAGCTACAAGCCTCGCCTTGTAGCGTTCGACACTCCCATCGGCTCCCAACTTCTTCGTAAGCACCCATTTGCACCCCACCAAGTAGGCACCCTTCGGCGGGTCGACGAGCTCGAACACATCGTTCTCCTTGATCGATGCTAGCTCCTTCTCCATCGCTTGCTTCCATAGAGGTGCATCCGGAGAAGCCAAAGCCTCCGCGTGGGTGCGAGGGTCATCTCTCATGGTTGCGAAGCAATATGCCGCACGCTCCTCATCCAACTCCCCAACGGCTACCGTAGCGTAGTCGGCTAACTTCGTGTTGGGGCGAGGTGTACGACGCCCACGGGTCAACGCCAATGGTAGGGAAGAAGGTGCGGAGGGAGTTGCCTCCTCGGTTGGTGGCACCTCCACGACATCGTCATCGCTCTCCTCGTTCTCTCCCCCTCCACTTTCGGCTTCATTGTCCACTTGTGATGGAACCTCCACCGCCTCATCCTCCTCTCGTGCGGGAAGTACGACGGTGTGTTGCGGCATTGGTGGTTCCTTCGACGGAAACTTGTCTTCGTCGAAGACCACGTCTCGAGATGTGACGACGCGCCTTTCACCCAAGTCCCACACTCGCCACGCACGCTCGTTTGCCGCAATTCCCAAGTAGATTGCCGCACGAGCCTTCGGTTGCAACTTGTGACGAAGGGGATCCGGGACATGGTAGTAGCAAAGGCACCCAAAGGTGCGAAGGCGGGATAGGTTCGGCTTCGTTCCGGTCCATGCTTCGAACGGAGTCGTTCCCGGGAGCACCCTCGTCGGCAAACGGTTGCGAATCCACGCCGCTAGCGAACTCGCCTCGCCCCACCACTCGCTCCCAAGCTTGGAGTGTTGAAGAAGAGAACGAACGGCTTCCACCAAAGTGCGATTAAGCCGCTCCGCCGCTCCATTTTGTTGGGGTGTGTAGGGTGTTGTGACGTCGTGCTTAATGCCCTTGCACTTCATCCATTTCTCGAGCTCCGCATTCACGAATTCGCCACCACCATCGGTGCGAATACACTTGATCCGCTTCTTGTCGTCGTCGCAAACTTCGAGCGCCCACTCTTGAATCGCCTTGGTCGCATCTCCCTTAGCCTTCAAGAGTCGGGTCCAACACATCCGCGTCGCGTCGTCGAGCATCACCAAGAGGAACCGCGCTCCTCCCTTTGATGCATGCCGCATCGGTCCACACACGTCCATGTGAACAAGCGCAAGCGGGTCCTTAGCGAGGGGAGAGGTACGGCTACCAAATGGCTTGCGAGCCATTTTTCCTTCGACACACGCCGCGCACACGCCCTTCTCGTCGTCGCCGGCGATCACGTCGACTCCCTTCGCTAGTCCTTTGTTGGCCAACGCCTTGACCGATTC